CCTTCTTCTCATCCTTCTCCTTCTCCATCTTCTCATCCTTCTCCTTCTCCTTCTTCTCATCCTTCTCCTTCTCCTTCTTCTCATCCTTCTCCTTCTTCTCATCCTTCTCCTTCTCCTTCTTCTCATCCTTCTCCTTCTCCTTCTTCTCATCCTTCTCCTTCTCCTTCTTCTCATCCTTCTCCTTCTCCTTGTCCTTCCTCATCTCCAAGGGCATTTAAATTAAAGGTACAGTGTTCTGCACTAATTTAAAGGCTCTCTGAAGCCTAGAAACCCTTTTAATAAGTTAAATTCGTAGCGAATTAATTCGCATCGAATCGAATTTCTTCCTCAAATTCGGCGAATCAGCCGAATCGAATTTTTGAATAATTCGCTCATCTCTAGTAGAGACTATAAAATTTGTTTTCGGTTTCCACCTAAAAGGACACCTTAGCTGAAAGGAATATGAGGGCTGATACTGCTGACCTTCTAGAAAAATTCAAAGATGAAAATGACTTACTATTTTTTTAACATCCTTATGGGTTCCCTTGAAGTATGGAGCCTTGTTCTACCCTCATTTTTCTTTCAGATCGCCAAAGTGCAGTGCCTCAATCCCTGAACCCCTCTGGGAGCAAGGCACCTGACAAAGGCAAGGTACTCCAGTCTACTTAGGTCGAAGCTAGGTGGTCCCTGCTCATTAGGGATCTGCCAAAGACGGTCCTCCAAGTATTTGGTGAGGGCAATCCCAAACTGAGACCCCCCAGTTGGAGAACGAAAAAAGACCCAAAGGCCACTGGTCTTTCCCTGACAACAAGGCAGGCCTCCTGAAAAACCTGCACCCTCCGTTTCTGCCCAGTAAAAATAACCCCAAAAAACCACACACATGTGCAGTGCAAGTGACCATGATAAATATGTGCAATAAATAAAAAAAGTGCAATGTGCACTACACAAGGTGGGTCTTCCATCCAGTCTAAAAATTGTTCTGGGCTAGCTAAAAGTCTTGCCCAAAAAGCATGTGCAAGAATAGCAAAGGTGGGAAGACCTAGTGCCAGTGGGGTACCAAACCCATAGGGTTTTTTTGGCAACCATGGGACACCACCTCCAGGGGGCACATCACTGGGGGCTCCTTGCCTTGTTCTACCCTTACTATTAATTAAAATTGCAGAGGAAGGTTGGCATGCATGCACGATGGGCATATTAAAAAAACAACAAGGGTCATTCGAGTGTTCCTATTTAGTTTATGGTGTGGAGAGAAAGGAGGGACTGGCCAGGAACACGACTGATGTCAGCAGCAGCCAGGGGTGGACTGACCATTTGGAAACTCGGGCACTGCCCGAGGACCCGGGGTCAGTAGGGGGCCCCATGAGATGCCCCTGGTACCTTTTTCATAGGCTTTTTTGAGTTTGGACAAGGACACAGGGGCCCCATGATCCCCTATTGCCGAGGGACCCCATGAGTTGTCAGTCCGTCCCTGGCAGCAGCATCTATTCGTTTGTTTATTTATATTGTATAGTAGGCGCAGAAGTTCACTTCACTTATCTACTGGCCAGTATTAGTTGTAATAAAGACAGGACAATTAGTCAAAAAGACTAATTAAACCATTTTACATAACCATACAATCATAGTGAGAATTTTCTCCAGAATAACAAAAGTGCAGAATTTAGGGTGGACTTTAATGTACTGTAGACATCATAAAGTATAATAATATAATAATAAATTATTCTTTTTTTTTAAAGATCTTCCAGGTAAGGCTGGTCATCCACTTTCAGATTTCTTTTGAAACCACTTGATAACCTCATCGACGTTAAACAGTTTGGATGGAGGAATCTCCTCTGCCAACTTTTGTACTCTGACACTCGCAGTACCCGTAGCTATCTAAATACTTGAACAGTGACTGTATCCGATTGACTGCAGTCATTGTTCGGCCAACAGTTTTCCACTCTGCTCTTTCAATGTATCAGTCATACTATGTCGAGCTGAAAGGGCCGACCAACAGCTTGAATTTTGGGCAATTCAGCAAAAATCAGATGAAATTCAAGCTGTTGTATAGTAAGCATAACATACAGTTATGGATATAAGGTTCTACTCCCCACCAGAACATTTTGATGCCCAAATAGAATGTATACTGAATTTTTCAGTGATTACTTATTTTGATTTATTATTGCTGTGTTTATTCTGGACTGCAAATTTTAACATGCATCTATTCAAATGGTTAGCACTTCCGCCTGGCAGTACTAGGGTCGTTGGTTTGAATCCCAACCACGGCACCACCTGCCTGGAGTTTGCATGTTCTCCCTGTACCTGTGTGGGTTTCCTCCAGGTACTCCGGTTTCCTCTCACTCTCCAAAAACATGCTGGTAGGTTAATTGGCTCCTGTCTAAATTGTCCCTAGTATGTGTATGTATAAAGGTGAGTTAGGGACCTTAGATTGTACGCTCCTTGAGGGTTAGGGACTGATGTGAATGAACAATATATATGTAAAGTGCTGCGTAAATTGACGGTGCTATATAAGTACCTGAAATAAATAAATAAATTCATATTTCCTGCACTGTATTCAAACCACAACACCCTTGTGACCTGCAGCAGCTGTCAGTGCAATGTTAACGGCACCCCAAATGCAGGTCGCAAACACAATGCATTTGACTGCACCAGATTGCATGGTTCAAAACTACTATGCAATCCGGTTGCAGTGCGTTTCAAAAAGTAGTGCATGCACTACTTTGGTGCGATTTGAGCCCATACAAAAAAATGGTCTCAAATCGCACCGCACTGAATTGCACAAGGATGCAGCAATTGCACTGAATTGCACAAGGATGGGCTCAAATCGCACCGCACTGAATAGCATGTGAATTGCACAAGGATGCAGTGCACATTCCTCTACGATTCATAGGCAATTCATAATGCGAATCTAGCCCTTTTTTTAAGCGCTAAAAGCACCTAGCCCTTAGACACGTTTAACACACATTTATGCATGTTTTTTTTTTTTTCTGCTAGAACATCCCTCTCCTGAACATGCTAGTGACACATAGGCAAGTAAACGCCTGCAATGACACATAGGCTAACATAGAGGGATGTTTAGAGACAGAAAACAAACATCAAAAGTGGCGTTTTTGACACCCAGTGAGCAGGAGGCTTACAGTTAGTATATAGTGAATATGTTTCCATCCTTCTCCTTTGCCTTTCCTCATCACTACAGTCAGATGCAATCATCAATTTGACAAACTAGCTTTTCGAAAATCAAATGAAGGCTCCAAAAATGATTTTTGTCAAAAATAAAAATAAGATATTGTCTACACAGGGAGCGCATTGTTTTTAGTGAGTTGACCAACGCTTTCCTAGTGAGAAAGAGCAGCAAAGCACAACCACTGTGTAACAATGGCTGACCCTCTGTTCATACTGTATTTAATTTCAGACTGTACATACTGATTTTTTTCAATTATGAATGCACATTATTAAATTTTAAAAATATTCACATCAAGCCCATCCCTTTGACATACATATCTAAAGAATAACTGAAAAGACTGTACATTCCCTTTAAAAGTTAAGGATCGGACTGCCCAAGGCTGCTACGGTGCTCCTACCTTGTTGCACTACAAGTGGCACTTTGAATTCCTTTGCATGTACCAGGTGTCACCATAGAAAACAATGACTACACATGGTGCATCCTCTCTTCTAAAGACGATGAGGGCAAAGGCCTGGGAAATTCCGATCTGGGGTTTAAAATGTGAACTTATCTTCTAAAGGGTAAATATGAAGTAATAGAATGTTAGAGAGAACAATTCACCCTTTGCATACCTATATGCCCTTAATAAGTATTATAAAAATCAGAATTCCAAAAAAGAACAGGGGGTAAGCTTTACAAATTAGAATTTTTTTTTTTCATATTAAATGTGTTTTTGTAACATTTACATATTCGCTTTGTTTAATACAAAGGATTCATTGCAACCCCATTATTACTGTATATAAGATACATCACAGATAATCTTGCATATGCTGTTTTTTTTCCAACACGTTTCTTGGAGCAAAGTCCACTTTTTCACAGATGCACATGCCGTTCAAGTGATGATGATAATCTCATAGCATGGATCCTAATAATTGTTTTAAGGCATTTGTCTATAAAGCCAAACTCTGAGGAAAGGACATATGTTCCCCCCGCACTGCAGGGGTTAAATGCTCTTTCACATCTAGGGGACCGCAAGAAGCAGTGTTACTTACTAGGTACCCCATGTCTGTAAGCTTCTCCATACTGCCAGACTAGCCCCTGTAGCCTCTTCTCTCCTATGCTCTGGCAGTTGGATGCCCATTAAAACCTATATGCACTGGACATGAGGACACTAAGGAATAGTCTACCATCACTTTCCACTACTTTTCCTGCCCCCTAGACCTAAATAAGCATTTAACTCTTACAGTGTGGGGGAAGTTCCACTGCCAAGGAGGTTTTTTTTTTAACTCTTCTTAGAGTTGGGCTTTAACCATTTACCATATTTAGAATGTCACACAATCATCCTTTAAGAGGCACCTGATTTGAAGAACTGATCTAGAATGTAGATGAAATCCTCAAGATGGGGATCACCAGGGTTGAAGAACTGGTTCAGAATGTAGAAATTATTTATTTATTTCAGGTACTTATATAGTACTGTCAATTTACATATATATTGCACATTCACATCAATCCCTAACCCTCAAAGGGTGTACAATCTAAGGGCCCTAACTCACATTCATATACTAGGGCCAATTTTAGACAAGAGCCAATTAACCTCCCAGCATATCTTTGGAGTGTGGGAGGGGAAACTGGAGTGCCTGGAGGAAACCCACACAGGCACAGGGAGAGAACATGCAAACTCCAGGCAAGTGGTGCCATGGTTGAGATTTGAACCAACAACCCTAGTACTGCCAGGTGAGCGAAGAAATGAAAAATTCGATTCGACTGATTCGGCGAATTCGTGGACAATATTCGATTCGAGTCGAATAAATTCGCTGTGAATTTAACTTAAAAAAGGGTGTTTCTAGGCTTCAGAGAGACTTAATATTAGTGCAGAACACTGTACCTTTAATTTAAATGCCCTTGGAGTCTGCTGGGGAAGAGAAATAATACTGTCAGTCAGTATGACATGCAGATGAGTGCCGTCGATCTTAGAATCACCGCACACTTCACTCATTTGGGCAGTCACGGGGCCAAAACCAGAGTGTGGAGCCACAGTGTGGCGGTGGAGGCAGCAGCAATGGGAGGCCATACAGCACCCTATGACAAAAATGGAAACCACCAGCAGTGTGAGGAGACCTGAAAGTGGCACATGGCAGAGTGTGGCGATAGAGACAGCAGCAATGGGAGGCCGTACAGGGACCCATGACACACTCTGGACCTGGCAGCAGCATGAGGAGGCGGGTACAGGGGCCCATGACAGATTACGGGCCTGGCAGCAGCATGAGGAGTCGGTACAGGGGCCCATGGCAGATTACGGGCCTGGCAGCAGCAATGGGGAGGCCGTACAGGGACCCATGACACACTCTGGACCTGGCAGCAGCATGGGGAGGCGGTACAGGGGCCCATGACAGATTACGGGCCTGGCAGCAGCATGATGAGGAGTCGGTACGGGGGCCCATGACACACTCTGGACCTGGCAGCAGCATGAGGAGGCGGTACAGGGGCGCATGACAGATTACGAGCCTGGCAGCAGCAGCAACTTGGACAGGAGGACGTTCAGCTTCTGCACCGTCGGGTGCGTGCTCGCAAACTGTTGTCTCTTGGAAACGGATTCCAAAAGACTGCTGACGGAATCCGTGAAGAGGAGTAGCAGGAGAAGGAGCATCTGAACGAGCGGAATATGCCAACAAGCGACAACAGTGGCCCATGACAGATTACGGGCCTGGCAGCAGCATGAGGAGTCGGTACGGGGGCCCATGGCAGATTACGGGCCTGGCAGCAGCTATGGGAGGCCCGTAATCTGCCAGCACCCTATGACAAAAAATGGAACCCACCAGCAGTGTGAGGAGACCTGAAAGTGGCACATGGCAGAGTGTGGCGATGGAGACAGCAGCAATGGGAGGCCGTACAGGGACCCATGAGAGACTCTGGGACCTGGCAGCAGCAGCATGAGGAGGCGGTATAGGGGCCCATGGCAGATTAGGGGCCTGGCAGCAGCTATGGGAGGCCCGTAATCTGCCAGCACCCTATGACAAAAAATGGAACACACCAGCAGTGTGAGGAGACCTGAAAGTGGCACATGGCAGAGTGTGGCGATGGAGGCAGCAGCAGCAATGGGAGGCCGTACAGGGACCCATGAGAGACTCTGGACTTGGCAGCAGCATGAGGAGGCGGTATAGGGGCCCATGGCAGATTAGGGGCCTGGCAGCAGCTATGGGAGGCCCGTAATCTGCCAGCACCCTATGACAAAAAATGGAACACACCAGCAGTGTGAGGAGACCTGAAAGTGGCACATGTTTGGGGCATGATTCATGGCGGATTTAGTCAGTTGTGTCAGGAACTGGTGGTTTGAAATCCAGACTAATCCACGCCTGATTCATTTTCACAAACGTCAGTCTCTCCACACTTTGGGTGGACAGTCGTGTCCTCCGCGGAGTTGCAATACCTCCTGCCGCACTAAACACGCGCGCTCCGATGCCACGCTACTGGCCGGGCATGACAGCCTTTCAAGGGCAAATTCAGCTAGTTGGGGCCAAAGGTCAAGTTTCGTTGCCCAGTAGTCAAGGGGATTGTCTACCTCGGTTGGCAGGGTGCTGTCCAAGTAGGCCTAAGCTGTTGTTTGAGGTCCTGCTCCAGGTCCACCTGATGCTGCTGCTGCTGCTGCGGCTGGTTAGTAGTTTCCTCACTGCGCTGGTGAAGAAAGCTACTCATCATCGACTGCAGACTGAGGCAGCCGCTGCTGGTGGAGCTGCCACTGCTCCTACCACCCCACCCCTCCCCTGCTGCCATGGCAGCGGAACACGAGCGCACAGGGCCCACAGTGTCTGAGGATGGACGTTGGCGCAGACAGGCAGAGACCAGCTGACTACATAGGTGTTTTTTATAGTACGTTATTTTGGCCTCCCTCTCAGCAGGTGTGAAAAAAGCCACCATTTTTGAACGGTAGCGAGGGTCCAACAAGGTGGACAGCCAAAAGTCATCCCTCTGTCTGATGGTTATTATTCGGCTGTCGCTACGCAAGCAACCGAGCATGCTATGGGCCATTTGTGCCAAGGAATGCGAGGGACTCCCTGCCTCCATCTCCACAGCATACTGCCACGGTGCGTCTAGGTCCTCTGTCTCCTCTTCCTCCTCCTCTACCAGATGCTCCTGCTCCTCCACTCCTGTCCGCTGAGTGGAAAAACCACCCATTTCACTCAATAATTCCTGAGCACCAATGTCCTCCTCTACCTCCTCCTCTTCTTCCAGTCCTGCCCCCACAGGGGCCATGTGGCGTTGAGATCTGTGCGCCACGTCTACCGCACCCTGACCAGCCATTGTTAACAGCATTTGTTCCAGGACGTGCAACAGAGGAATGACGTCGTTCATCCCATAGTCCTGCCGACTCACGAATAGCGTGGCCTCCCAAAGGGCCTGAGCAAGCGCAGGTGTCACGCATGAGCTGCCAATGGCTGACATCTAAGTTACACAGGGAGTACCTTTATCTGCTTTTAACATCAGGAAATCTGTGATGGCCTTTTGCTGTTCGTAAAGGCGGTCTAACATATGTAGGGTTGAATTCCACCTTGTTGCAACGTCACAGCATGAGGAGTCGGTATAGGGGCCCATGGCAGATTAGGGGCCTGGCAGCAGTTATGGGAGGCCCATAATCTGCCAGCACCCTATGACAAAAAATGGAACACACCAGCAGTGTGAGGAGACCTGAAAGGCACATGGCAGAGTGTGGCGATGGAGACAGCAGCAATGGGAGGCCGTACAGGGACCATTCAACACACCAGCAGTGTGTGAAGAGACCTGAAAGTGGCACATGGCAGAGTGTGGCGATGGAGACAGCAGCAATGGGAGGCCGTACAGGGACCCATGACAGACTCTGGACTTGGCAGCAGCATGAGGAGGCGGTATATAGGGGCTTATGGCAGATTAGGGGCCTGGCAGCAGCTATAGGAGGCCCGTAATCTGCCAGCACCCTATGTCAAAAAATTCAACACACCAGCAGTGTGGAGGAGACCTGAAAGTGGCACATGGCAGAGTGTGGCGATGGAGACAGCAGCAATGGGAGGCCGTACAGGGACCCATGACAGACTCTGACTTGGCAGCAGCATGAGGAGGCGGTATATAGGGGCCCATGGCAGATTAGGGGCCTGGCAGCAGCTATAGGAGGCCGTAATCTGCCAGCACCCTATGTCAAAAAATTTA